TGCTCAGCCCCCTTTCCACCCCCATAATACACATGATTTCCTTCCAAAATCTGGAAACAAATTGTGTCCCCCTGTCAGAAACCACCTTGGTTGGCAACATGTGGAGGCGCACAATGTTTGAGCCTTGGCCATTGGTACCGACGGGAATGGGACAAAGTGTGCTTGTTTAGAAAATAAATCAACAACAACCCAAATAACAGTCTTATTTCTGCTAGGCGGCAGATCAGTTATAAAATCCATGGAGATCATCTCCCAGGGCCGGTTAGGTGTGGGAAGAGGTTGCAACAGGCCCCGTGGCTCCCCCCCCCCGGGGTTTGCTCATTGCGCAGATTTGGCATGTCTTTACAAATGCTGAAAGATCCTTGCGCATGTGCGGCCACCAGAATTGTCGTTGTAGCAGTTGCAAGGACTTTACAAATCCAGAATGCCCCGCCAATTTAGATCCATGAACTGAGAGCATCACTTCTTTTCGAAGAGTTGCCGGTACATACAGCTTATAGTCTTTGTACCAACAGCCATTCACCCCTTGTTTACAATCTTCCAGCCCTCCCAGCCATGATTGTTCTTCATCAGACAGCTCCGCCTGGAAACGTTCTACCCAGACTGGAGCGGAAGGGGTAAGAGGGGTTGGTGAGGAAGAGGCGGGTAGTTTGGCCGCTTGGCTACGTGTGGTGACCGCGCCCCCCAGTTGGGTGGGAGTGAAAACTGAGTCAAAGATGACGTCCCGTTGACTCGCATGTTGGGGGAGGTGGGACAACCCATCAGCTAGCGAGTTCGCAGAGCCTGGAAAATGGTGAAGTGTGAACTGGAACTTAGAAAAGAAATCAGCCCACCTCAGTTGCTTGGCATTAAGGCATCTGGGGTTTTTCAAGGTTTCTAGGTTTTTGTGATCAGTCCATACCTCAAACGGCACCCTGGCCCCCTCCAGCCAATGCCTCCACGTTGACAACGCTAGTTTAATAGCCCCCGCCTCCTTCTCCCACACGGACTAATGTCTTTCAGAGTCACTAAATTTCTTAGAGACATATGCTAGTGGGTGCAGCAACCCATCCTCCCCTTCTTGGAGTATTGCCCCCCCCCTCGCCATGTTGGATGTATCCATTTGTACAATGAATTTTTTGTGTTCATCGGGGGGGGCTAATACTGGCTCTTTTAAGTGCATGAAAGCCTCATGGCATTTGGGCGACCATCCCAGGGGCGCACTGGGTTTCGTGGCATCCGGCCACTTCCACTTTGTTTTCAATAAGTCAGTCAGGGGGAGGCAAATCTGGGCAATGTTCGGTAGGAAGGTTCTGTAAAAATTGGCGAATCCGAGGAAACTTTGTAGTTGCCTCCTCGTTCTCGGGGCCTCCCACCCCAACACATCCTGTACCTTCCCCGGATCCATCTCCAGCCCCATCCCCGAGATGCGATAACCCAGAAAGTCAATGTGTGTTTTATGGAATTCGAACTTGGAGAGTTTGGCAAACAGTTTGTGCTTGTGCAACGTACTCAGAACTTCTCTCACCAACTTCACGTGGGAGGTTAGATCGGGGGAATAGATTAAAATGTCATCCAAGTAAACAAGCACCCCCTTAAACAAATGTTTATGCAACACCTCGTTGATCAGATTCATAAAGACCCCTGGGGCCCCTTGAAGACCGAAGGGCATCACGAGGTACTCGAACTGCCCCAATGGAGTGTTGAAGGCAGTTTTTACTTCATCGCCTTCCTTGATGTGCACTCGGAAATAAGCGTCTCTGAGATCGAGTTTGGAAAATATTTTCCCTCTTGCCGCCTTGGCAAGTAGATCTTTAATTAGGGGCATCGGGTATGCGTTAGTGGCTGATACAGCATTCAAACCCCTGTAGTCCATGCACAGCCTCAATCCCCCGTCCTTCTTTTTCCGGAATAATACAGGCGCTGCAAAGGGGGAGGAGGCTGGGCGGATGAAGCCCCTGGCCAAGTTCTTATCTATGAAGGTTTGGGCGGCGGGGGGGGGGGTCGAGTTTAGCTCCTGCATCTCGGGGTGGTGGGGAGCCCACCTGTTTGGGCCAGCCATGGATCCGGTGTTCCCCAATCCATCCCAGGACCCAAGTCAAGAGGATGGCATGGCCTCGGACGACTTCGACATTGTGATTGAGGCCATGCTGGAGGCCCCGTACAAGAAAGAGGAGGCCCAGCCTGGACCATCAAAGCCTCCAGCTGACCCCCCCACAGTGCAGCCCCCCAGGAGGAAAAAGAAGAAAAAGAAGTCAAGAAAGACAGCACCTCCAGCAGTAGCGGAGAAAGCAGCAGCAAAAAGAAGAGGAGCCAGAGCAGGAGCCACGACCACAGACACAGCCGCAGTCGGGACCGAGACCGCCATCGCAGGCGCAGCCGTAGTCGGGACCGCTGGCACCGGAGCAGAAGCCGCCATCGGAGCCGGAGCCGAGATCGTAGGTGGGGCAGCCGTTCCGGCAGCAGAGAGCGCCGGAGGGATGAGAGAGTGCGCTACCGTAGCCCCCCACCTCCTGGGTGGCGGTCCGGACATAGCAAGAGTCCCTTATACAGAGAGAAGAGTCCCCTCCGGGAGCCTTTGGGCAGCCTGAGCCCAGAGGAGCGTGATGCCCGTACTGTCTTCTGTATGCAGCTGGCTGCCCGCATCCGCCCCCGTGACCTTGTGACAGGCTAATTAAGTCTCTCCCACACCCAGAGTCAATGAGCGCCTTTACACACACATGGGTGCCCCGGGTTTGATTCATTAAGGACACAGTCACGAAGAAAAGGGAGGGGGGTTCGCTCACTACTTTTGGCGCCTTCAAAGGAGGGTCCTGCCATTGCGTGCCTTCTACGGCAGGACTGCTCGTTTCCTGCCGGCTCCTGGTCTTCTTCGCTGGAGTCTCCCTCATCCTCTTCGGGTGACGCTTGGAGAGCTTTAGCGAACTTGGGCTTTGCGGTCGCTTTCTTCACTGGGGTAGAGGGTCGGTTCTTGGTCACCACCGGTTTCTCTCGCAGGGCCTTCTGGCCACAATCCACCGCGAAGTGGCCTCTTTCCCCACACTTCAGGCACAAGCCTTGCCGCATCCATTGCTCTCGGGTGGCGTCCGCTTGGCGTGGCGGCTTGGGTTTCGGAGGGAGGTTAGCCGACACTTCCCCCCCACTGCTAGATCCAAGCAGAGGGTTTGCAGGCGGTTTTCCGCACTTTCAGCTTCTTGGATCCACGCTAGCAGTGAAACAGGGTCCACGGATCTCAGCACCTTCTCACGGATCTCCGGATTCAGGCCCACTCGGAACATCTCGGCCAGAATGTGTTCTGGCCGGTCTTGGAGTTTAGCGGCATGGAGTTTGAACTCGGCAGTGTACTCTCTGACCGTCTTCCTTTCTTGCTTTAGGGTGCGCAGATGCGCGCGCTGCCCCGCATTCACGTCTTCAAACTGGGTTCAGAGGGCCCACAGGAACGCATACATGTCCCTGAGTTCGGGCCCTCCCAGGTTATGCAGACTCACATACCAAGTGGCCGCTGCTCCTCGTAGTCTTGCCGCGATGACGTCGATCCGGCTGCTGTCATCAGTGAAGAGGTGCCCTGAGCGACTGAGGAACTTTCTGACTCTCACCACGAAGTACACCCGCTCATCAGGGTTCCCGTCGAACGTAGCTTCGATGAGATCCTTGGGGTGCTGGTTCACCAGGGGTCTCGCCTCCGGGGCTAGAACCTCCCTCGGTCTGGGTGCAGGTCGCAGTGGTTGACCATCCGGTCCCACAGGTTGTTCTTGCTCACCCCGATCTGGTGGTTGCCAGCCTGGCCCCTGCCGACCGTCTTCCCCACCTTCATCCGGCTGGTGCAAATGCTCCCACATCTCCTCAAAGGTTCGCATGACCATGTCAGGAAAAGTGGCCATCATTTCTTCTATCGCCTGTTGGAGTTGTCAGACATTGCGGTCAGTTGTCTCAATTCTGCTCATCACCCTGTCCTCCAGAGGGTTTTGGGTCTCTTTGCCTCGTTTCCTGTCCGTCACCCATGATGGGGCCGACGGCTCGTTGAAGCCGACTCCCAGGGCTTCTAAGCCCGAGTCTCCCCAGTCTGTGTCATACAGGCTCTCCCACAAGCCAGCTCCCATATGGGAGTAAGTTTCTCTGGTAGTAGCCACGTCAAACTGGTTCCAGCTCTGGCGGTCATGCCCCCGAGGTCTGGGGCGATACGGGGCTCCACGCGGCATTACGAACGCTTTGCCACGTTTTGGGATGGCCCCTCTGGCTGGGGTATACAGCAGGAGGGTGGCTGTCACTGGTACCGACCCTGAGGTCTCCGGGGGATCTTCTCCGTGATCTGAGTCCCCATGCTCGGATTCATGTGGAGATTTCTCCAGGTCAGGTTCCTCCTCACCTCCGCTCATATCGGGGTTAATAGATGCTTCAGGATGGAGAAAGGGTGATTCCGAACAGTATGTCGGACTCACAGTGAACAATGAAATACACTCTTGCAGGAAGGTTTTATTTTATTGAAGCCATGAAGTACTTAGAACAAATTTTCTGTTCGGAATAACACAAAGGGCTTGAGACTGGGATAATAAAGCAAGTTCAAAATAACATGGGCCAATAGATATCGTTCCCACGCCCGCCTTGAGGCTCATCTCGTACTCAAACCTTGAGAAAGCAATGGCTGTAGCTAATTAAACAATACTTCTGTTCTCACACTACTGCTCATTATAGACTAAGCAAAAAGCCTCCAAAAGCGCACCACCTGTAGCTTTGGCTGATAAGATTCCTTCAAAGCAACTCTAGCGTACATGGAAAGGAATGCAGTTAACTATGAGCGCTGGAGGGTGAGGGGGGACATGTGCACCAGAGTGTAAGCCAGTTAAGGGAAGGCAATATAGGGGGGGGGGGGTTACACACATCTCATATACACGGAAAAGGCATATTGGCAGCTTGCTGACACTTAAACACCAACAAGATTTCCAGGGTATAAACTTTTGACAATCAAAGCTCCCTTTGTCAAATGCTATGCATTATACAGATGCAGATATGTGTGGGCCCTCAGGCATTGGGCATTCATGTGCTCTCCATCACAGACTTCTTCTCCCACTCACTGCCCCCCTTTGCCTCTTTCCATGCCATGACTCCCCCCCTCCAGCTCCCATTGTGGCTTTCGCAGGGGGACCTATTCTGCTCAAGGTTGAAGTCCTGGAGTCTAGCAGGGAGCTGGCACCAATAGTACTACAGCATGAATGTGGTTCCAGAAAAGGCTGAGGGTGAACTATGTCTTGCAATCTAGAGCTTGTGTACCATTATGATACAGGAGCATCATCAAAATACACGTGTTCTAGATTGCATTTGAAATTGTATCTTTTGGATCAAAGTAGGAAGGCATATTATTGCAGTACCATCTAAGATATATGCACCTGATTAGGATACAAGGCTATCGTATGAGGCCTCTATTGTACACCTTAGCCTTGAGCCACTGATAATTATCATAATATAATTTTCACTTGGTCCTATATTGAGTAATACCTTGGATTATTACTGCAACATTGAGCCTACATGTATTATTTATGTTTGACCACTGAAGAAGGCCAGTTGGCTGAAACGTGTCGGGTCACATAAGGTCCTGTTTGTGAATACTGTGCAGTTTTAATTCTTATTGAGGCTACATTTGGGCTTATAACTGTTTTTAAATCATTTGTAATAAATACATGTATTTTTGAAAACCTCTGTTACCTATATGTTAATGTTCTATATGTATTGATTTTAAGATTGGGTATTAGTCGCAACCCCTCTACTAGACCATAGGTCCAGGAATGTGCTTTGACCCTGCCATTCTTTGATGTCAATCACGGAGGTAGTTTGGCAGAAGACGGTACCTTGTTTAAGACCACTCAACAAGCTTCATAGCAGATCAGAGATTTGAACCTGAGTATCCATAACATGATACTGGCTTTTGAAGAACAATGTATGTCTTGTGGATCCTCATTTCTATCAAACAAGCAGAGATTCTTGAGGAATTTTAACAGCTCTCACCAAAGCAAGACACTCAGAATGGAATAGTTCTTATAATAGTGGCAAATACAAGATATGCAACTCTCAACGCACACTTGAATGTTTCTTATTCCCATCAAGTACAAAGGGAGAGAATATGCAAAGCATGTTATGAAATGCCTCCCTGATTACAAAACCAGGCCTACAAAAGTATCCATGATCCAAAGAAAAAAAGGGTACTTGATCTCAGAGCACATCAGAAATAAACACCAGGCAGAACAAATATGTAGACTCAATGGTGTGTTTTCCTTTTGTGTTTGCAGAGGAGTTGGAACAGAATTGATCATGGATTAAATAATGCTCAGTCAAATAACTGTGGTGTAGTTCTGTTGATTCAACATTCACTGCCAGTTTGACACATGTGATTATTGACATGTCCAGGCAAATACTCACAGGAGCTCTAATTAGCTAGAGAGGGCCAAGCCATGGTGACTGACATTAGACAGAGCAAGGTGACTTTGGAAAGCAGATCACTGATACAAAAAAAATTACTTCACTGGACAGCAAGTGTAGTGGGGATGGGAAGAGTAAGGGACAACAGTTGAGAATGTAGTTCACTTTGGTTATGTTATTTATTGAAGGACAGCTAGTCGCATTTTGGTTGTAATTCCATGTTATAAAAGTATGGATGCCACTCTTTTCTAGGCTTTCTCAGGGTCAAGCTAGTGATGACAGAGCTTTCTGTAAAACAGACAGACCAGACTGAGCTCATAAATAGAAGGGAGTTTTCCTAACTGAAATGAGGCCCCCTTTGCTATTGTGTCTGTGGCCATCAAATCACAGATGGCTTATGGGGACCACAGCAAGGGGATTTCTACAGAGTCTTCCTTGGTGGTCTCTCTTCCAAGTACCAACCCTAATTAGCTTCTGTGCTCTGATGACATTGGACTATAACATTTATTTTATTTATTAATTCAATGTATACCCTGCCCTCCCTGCGAACGGACTCAGGGCAGCTTACAACAGTGGCTCAATTGCCAATAAAACAATATACAACATTCATAATAAGTTAAAACATAAAATCATAAGGTGCTATTCAGTTCTCCAGTTCTTTGCTTACGATGGCATATTAAGATGTCTTCAACAACTAGATTCCAGCTCAGTGTTGTTCTGAGTCGTTCGATGTAATGGGCCAGATGTTGGCACTGAGGGCCGGGCTCATTGTTGGTAGTGGTGGGGGCGGCTCCTAATTGAAGGCCTGGTGGAAGAGCTCCATCTTGCAGGGCCTGTGGAACTGCAAAAGGTCCCGCAGGGCCCTGATCTTTTCCAGGCGCTCATTCCACCAGTAAGGAGCCACCATTGAGAAAGCCCTGGCTCTCATCATGGCGAGCCTAGCCTCTTTGCCGCCTGGCAGGGTCAAGCAATACTGTGACCCTGACCTCAGTGCTCTCTGGGGTATATGTGGGGAAAGGCGGTCCCTCAGGTATGTCAGACCCTGGCCATAAAGGGCTTTAAAGGTAAGCACCAGCACCTTGAAACAAATTTGGTATGCTATTGGCAGCCAGTGCAGGGCCTTTCCTCCCTCCTGTGCTCTTATGAGCCCTTTAAAGAAAGAAAAGAAAGGTGCTTTCTCTCTCTCTAAAGAGCTAGAACAGCACTGGGAAAGGGGACAGAAGGATTTAAAAGCCCCCTCCCCCATATAGACCAGTCCACATA